AATATACTGAGAATTAGCATTTTCTTTCTCCAGGAAAAATCTCATGTTTATATCATGAAAATCTCTAACACGTACTGGATTTTTTATTTGTTTGGATGCTACTCAGGCCCAAATTTTCCTAGATCAAAATTCTTATAGCTTTACTTCCATCTTTCATTCTGTTTTGCAACTTTTTAATGAGTTTGGGATTTTTTAAACAAAAACTTGTAGTAAGAAAACTGTAATACTTTTATTCATTTCAGCAAATATTCCCTTGTGTAGATTTTCTTTGTTCCTGATACATACCAACTGAGTATTCATACATTTTTCAAGTTCAACTCATCTGTGCCACTATTCCTCTTTCTATTCTCCATGTCCTTCATATGTCCTCTCCCAGAACTATTCACTTACATCTATAACAGTGGTTCTCAACCATGGCTATACATCAGACCCACCTGGGAAGCTTTTAAAACATACCAATGCCTGGGCTCCATTCCCAGGACTTGCACTTCATTTGTCTCAGGCAACATCCTGGCATACATAAAATGTTTTTAAATCTCCAAAGGTGATTCTAATGATCAGCCAAGGTTGAGAATCCCTGCTGTCTCTATTTATCATATAGTATCATGAATATTTGTGAAATTTTAATACTCACGGGAGTTTTCAGCACTTTATTTCTTTAATCCTCACTGGGGGAGGGAGGATTTTTTCCATTGATTTTTTTTTAGAGAGAGTGGAAGGGAGGCAAGGGGGAGAGAGAAAGGAGAGAGAAACATTGATGTGAGAGACACATCGACTGGTTGCCTCCCACTTATGGCCTGAACGGGGCAAAGGATTGAAACTGTAACCGAGGTACTTGCCCTTGACTGGGAATAGAACCTGAGATCCTTTGGTCGGAGGGTCCATGCTCTAACTACTGAGAAAAACTGGCCAGGGCTGGCATTTTCAGCACTCAAATCAGAGGCTATATCTCACTTATAAGGTGAATTCCAATGCCCATTGCATTTGATCTACGGAATGCTTGTCTGCTAAGTACTCTGGGGAGCACTCCAGAAGACCCATAGTTCAAGACAACATCATCTCTTACCCAAACATATCCCAAAGTGTTATGGGAAATATCAAACAAGGGCAAACCTGACATTCCATAACTGTGACCAAGTAAGGTTATAACAGAAATGAAATATTAGGACAGAGAGTCAAATCAACTTGAGAAACCAGGAGGACGTAATAAAGAAGGTAAAAATCTTAGGATCGACCATGTGTAGCATTTTGAATAGGATTATCTGTATGATTTTGACAGAAAGCAATGTAAACAGTGTGGAGATGAGAACAGAATTTCTAGTGAAAGAGAACAGAATGAGGAAAAGGGAACAGGTGGGCAAGTGTGAATTCCATTAAGGAAATTGTTTCATAGCATTTAAGAAGCAATTATAGGGAGAAGAGGGTGATGAAGGTAGGAAGCTGGTGGGGTGAGTTTACAGAGGCTTTTTGAATGCCCAGTGGATGCAACTGGATTCCATGAAGGGTGCTGAGCTGGGGAGTATGCAATTTTATATTTGTGCTTTAGAGAAAGATCAATCTGCCTAATTAATTATCTTAAAGCCTTTAAAATACATTGTTATATGATCTGAATTACATTATATGATTACTGCAAGCAAGTAAGGCTTCCTGATGCTAAAATCCTTTTCATTATGTGGTCAATGAATTCAGCAAACAATAGATCCCTAAGGACCAGAAATTTCTGTACTCAGGAGACAATATTTCATTGGCTTAGCAGAGAAGAAAATAGATAAAGGTGAAGACATACAATGGCTGTGGTAGTCCCCCTAAAAAACTGGCCTAAAAGACTTGGCTATTTTTTGGGGGGCGGTTAGCAAAAGGAAAATGAGGTAAAGAAAATGTCCTTCACTTAACGTGATTTTCTTCACTTCTACATGTATAGGTCCAAGTTACTGATTTCATAGTCACGTTGATGTCTCCATTATTGCTTTTGATGAACAGATGCAATATTGTGGGTGAGAAAACCCTCAGAAAAATAATTTTCATAATGTGATATCACTTTAGGCATAACATCTTTGCTCAGGCCAGCTCTTACCATGATGGTCAGGCTGATACTGGACTCATTTATATATTGCCTTAGCAAGCCACATTTGTCCCTTACTACTGCCCAAATGAGAGTGCTTTTAAGATCTACACCACGTTATTTATTTACTTTTTAAAAATTTTCACTGTATTTATCGATAAAGTTATCAATAAAGCAATAGGACATATAACACATATTTAAAAACCCTAAAGCAAGTCAATGTTTAAAGTATTGGATATACTTATGTCTTTTATCTTAAGTTTAATCTTACAGCTGCATGTGGGTTTGTATGTATATAAATATCCCGGTGAGAAGTGAAGAATACTGAAGAATTCAGATATCCATGAGGATATTTAAAACAAGATATATTATTCAGAATCTAACCACACAGCTCAACATTTGCCTTTGCCAGTAGCACACAGTGGTATTACATGAAACTCTATGATGAAGCTCCATGCTTCACATACTGATGTTCTACTCATCCAGCTAGAGCAGTGGTTCTCAACCTTCTGGCCCTTTAAATATAGTTCCTCATGTTGTGACCCAACCATAAAATTATTTTCGTTGCTATTTCATAACTGTAAGGTTGCTACTGTTATGAATCGTAATGTAATTATCTGATATGCAGGATGGTCTTAGGCGACCCCTGTGAAAGGGTTGTTCGACCGCCAAAGGGGTCGCGACCCACAGGTTGAGAACCGCTGAGCTAGAGTCTTTGTGCCCTGGGGACAGTTTTCCGTTTTTTAATTGTGTCAGGCACTTTAAAATTGGATTGAGAAAAACAAATAAATTAAGTGAATTCTCAAGATAGAGCTGCCCAGTTCCAGACAAGATGGAGTACACACAATCTATTTTCCTTCTCCTGCTAATCACAAAACATACTCGAGTCACAACACGTAAGTCATTTATCAGAAGACTCTAAGAGCAAAGAAGGAAGATTGGCTGGGAGCCCCAGGATCTAGGGAATGATATGACAATGACAGTAAATTCTATGGGTTTTTTTCTTGCTTACTATATATCCCAACTTGGATGTTAGAAAAGCCCTCAATGAAGCACAATGCCAACTAAAAAATAGAAGCCAAGAAAAACCAAAGGACTAGGAAAAGGGTAGCCCAACAAAAATAAAACTTTTAAATACACTTGCCTATTTGAGGGATGAATAGCACATAATAAAAATAGCAGTGTCTCTCCCTATTTGAAGATGGTACAGCAGAGGGAGAGGGTCAGTGAGAAACCATGGGCAGAAACCTATATTCTACTCCCATTCCCTTTTTAGCAAAGAGACAGCATCCCTTTCCCCATGGATTCTGTGAATGAACCAACTTCCAACCCCCATGAATTAAACGGGAGGTGCCTCTCCCCTCAGAGCCCCTGGTTGGAACTCTGACTTCCCCTCTGTTACAATCATGAGGCAACAGAACTATTTTTTTTTTTGCAGCAGCAGCAGCAGAAGGGATACCAGAAGGAGTTTCTTTGTGGTCATGGAACAGTTCTTTGTGATGATTACTCTAATCTACACCTGTGATACAGTTTCATAGAACTATATACTCTCCTCACCAAAAACAAAAAAAACTGGTGAAATCTCAGTAAGGGCTATAGCTGAGTTAATAGTTCTAGCATTGAATCAAAGTCAATTTCTTTAAAACAAGAAAGAAAAATATATATGCCTCATTAGCTTATATATTTATATAGTAGTATATCAATTATTCAATTCGAAGTTATTTTTAATGTGTTTGTCCTGAACATTGAACACCTAATAATACATGTGTTACGTATGTTATAAATGTGATAAAACTTTAAAATTTAAAGAGGGTGGCCGAAACCGGTTTGGCTCAGTGGATAGAGCGTCGGCCTGCGGACTGAAAGGTCCCAGGGTCGATTCTGGTCAAGGGCATGTACCTGGGTTGCGGGCACATACCCAGTGGGAGATGTGCAGGAGGCAGCTGATCGATGTTTCTCTCTCATCGATGTTTCTAACTTTCTATCTCTCTCCCTTCCTCTCTGTGAAAAGTGAATAAAATATATTAAAAAAAAATTTAAAGAGGGTGATTTTGTCACTCGGGTAAATTTTCTAATATTACTACTAAACCAACTATGACAACAGAATACTATTTCCCCCTAACTTTTAAAATTCGGGTTCTTAATCTAAGAAGAGTAACTACTTAAAAATAAAAGTTTCCATTCATATCTGCATAAAACTTCTTATGGTTTACTTAAGTGCAATCATAATCACAGGATATTATAAGATAAACTTTGGGACCCCTCGGGGGATGTCAGAGAGCTGGTTTCGGCCCGGTCCCCACAGGCCAGGCTGGGGGACCACACCAGTGCATGAATCCATGTGCGGGGCCTTTAGTTATAAATAATAGAAATAATACTTTAGGTTTTGTGTCATGCTTTTTCTCTAAGAAATGAATGTTTTCTCTTTCAATCTCATCATGTAACTGATAAGAGTTCTGTACCATGTCTCTTTTTCAAATGGCATAATTAAATGGCAGGGCAGTTCATATGCCTTGCCTCGGACCACCGTGGAAATCACCAATAGGGTAAGAGTCATAAATTAGGCCTCATGATCTCCTTTAAATGTCTGGCTTTTCAATTACATAAGACGATGCTTTTAGCTAAATCTCTACCTGAACATCATTCCACTAAATGAGCAATAGTTGATACCAGAATATTCTCTTGTTTTAGTAGCTTTGTTTCCACAAAAATTTTCTGCCAGCACAGCACAACTCAATAAGCAACACACTCAGGCACTTAATTTATTCTAATTTCATTTCTGTTTGAGTATTTTTTAGAAGTTCAACATCTTTAAGTTATTAAATACGTTGCGATATGAGGACTATTCATTGTGATGGACCAAGTTTCTTTATTATAAATGTGTATATAAACTTCTCCAAAGGAAAGATAACCATTAGTGCATCTTGTCATCACTTACTTTCTTCTTTCCGTTTCAAATCTGTGGAGTAGTTTCCGAAGACCACCATTCTTAAATCCCTGAAAATGGGCAGCTGGGGCTCCCACGGTGATAACATCATAGAGAGCATCTGGAACGGGAATGGACAAGGAGATGAACACTTTGCAAACATTTCTCTCCAGCATGCTGTCTGCACTGAAGCATACACAATGTCGGAAGTCTGAGACATTATTCTGTTTAATTTTGCAGGAATCACTATGAACTTGCATCTCAAGGGGGCAAGAGGAGCTAATTTATCTTTCTAAAAGCCACCTGTGCACCTATACAAGTTATAATATATCCTTGATTTATGACTACATCTTAATTATATGCTACTGTGTAGAACAGTATGTTCTCCCATTCGTCTGTATACTTACTGAGATAACATGCTAATTGGTCTTTTGTGTATTTTATTTTATTGAGTTTTGCATCATTTAATTAGCAATCATATTGAAATTCAACAATAATGAATCTTTCCACCGAAATTTACAGAGAAAAGAGGCATTTTGGTTCAAAGCCAGAACAGTACCAGTGCATTTTTTAAAAATCTATATAGAGTAGTTTCTGCCTGTGTATACAAAATCTTATACAATTTTAATGCAAGCTTTTGCAATTTCCTCAGGTGAAAGAAGAATACACAAAATGTCTCCTGATCTATTTTCCAGCAAGATATTTTGTGGGTTTTTTTTTTTTCAAAATAACCATACATTTAAATTGAAACTCAATCCCTTGATCTTGAAAGCCATCAGGTTTCATACATATTAAGTTTATGGCCTTTAAACATGCCATATATTATAATGAAAAGTATCTCCATCAGAAAGAAGACAGAGTGAATGCCCTCTTGTTAAACTACATTTTATCTGAGAAACCTAATTTCATAGTAGATCCTTTTCATGTTGATTTTGGTATTGACACATTGACTGTTTTTCAGATCTCATTTACAGGGAAAACATACATTATTTTATTAGCTTCAGGTAAACACCATAACTTTTCCAAAGTGGTTCAACCTAAATGCACCAGTAATATCTTTCTTAACAATAAATGTCTTCAAAACTCAAGGTCACGAAAGAACTGAATACAAACTAACCCATCAATAAAGCAAATATTGAACAATAATTTAATAGATTGCTGGAGTGATAATCTGTTGCCCTTTTAAAAAGTCACCAATAAAGTAGAAGTCAGCTTATCTTAAAATAACAGAATATTAGACTTCTGTGTAATTAAAAAAAATTGCCTAGGGGACTTTAACCCAGGCCTAAGAAAAAGGTTCCAGGTACCCGTGACCATATATACATTTTTGTAAGTGCAGCTGTTCTACTTCCTGGAAAGGGGTCACAGCTTTCTTAAATAGTCATGAGCTCACCCCATTAAATAATCCTATTCCTACCGGCCTTAGGAACATCTCTGAATGTCAGCCAGCTATTAATCTTAACTTGTTCTAACTCTTTCAACTTGCCCTTTCTCCCTGGTTTCCTATAACAAGTATAGACAACGCATTCCTTTAAACATTCCAAACAAAAATTCTCAAGCTCTCAACATCAGTTGCTTTCTTTCCCTCATCATTTTATCTGATCAGTTTCAACAACTCTGCTCCCCAAATTTTATTCTCTTTTATCACTGTGAACTCTATTTATTTTAATTCTAACCTTCCTCAGTTCATGTCAGGATTATTACTGCCTCTTCAATCTTAGCCTCCTTGCATCCACAGTGCAAATCGCTTCTCCTGTGTTGGTGGCCATTCAGTCACTCTGCCCAAAACACAGGCTTCAATTCTTCTCATATATTTCAAAGATTAGGAGAATATTCAAATGTGTGCATGTTGTAGATGCTGAATAATTGTCAATAAACAAACACATATTTTGAGGATGAATTATTTATCTAATTTGTCTTTAGATTACACAGGGAATTACTATTCTTAATCGAAGAATAAGAGGTTTAAATACACTATCCAGAAAAAAAAATTGAAATCTGGAACATACATATCTCCAGGGGAAGAAGATAACCATATATCCCTCCCTGAAACACATTCAATAATAAAAGAACAAGGAGAGCTTAAGATTACCTACATGGAAAAGATTGAAATTAGACCCTTCATGCACACAAATCAACTCAAAAGTATTAAAGACTTAAACATAAGAACTAAAATTATAACATTACTAGAAAAAAACTTAGGGACATTTCATAATATTGGTCTGTAAAATTATTTCATAGATATTACACTAAAAGCACAAGTAACAAAAACAAAACTAAACAAGTGGGACTACATCAAACTGAAAAGCTTCTGCTGGCCCTGACCAGGCTCCTCAGTTGGTTGGAGTGTCATCGAGTACACCAAAAGGTTGAGTGTTCAGATCCGAGTCAGGGTACATATCTAGGTTACGGGTTTGATCATCAGCAGAGGCATGTATGGAAGGCAACAGATCAATGTTTCTCTCTCACATCGATATTTCTCTCTCTCCCCCTCTCTCCCTCTCTCTTTCTCTTTCTCTCTCTCATAAAAACAAAAATATATCCTTGGGTGAGGGTTAAAAAAATTTCTAAGGAAACAATAATGTAAAAAAGCAACATAGAGAACAGAAGAACAAGAGAAAATATTTGCAAATCATTTATCTGATGAGGGGTCAATCTCCAAAATATGTAAGGTACTTCTATAAGTCAATACAAGGCTCCAGGAAGTCTTAATATTTTGCAATTGTTCTTTGATAACTATCAGTTATCACTGTATTGAAACAGTTATCTATTTTGGCTCCTTCATCCTTGAATTTCACTTGTCATTCATTACTACAAAATTAGTAGACAGAGCTAAGTACACCATGGGATTTACTTCCTGGTCTCATCTCAGTTTAGTTAATGAAGAATGATATACACTTAAAGTACCATGTTCATTCTTGGCCAGAGCAGATACACTCCTTTGAATGTAGTTAGAATTAACTTCAATTGATTGATTTCCTTTAAGGGAGAACAGATATAAAAGAGGCAATAAAAATAAAATTATAAGATAACAATCTGATCAGTAATATTTGTCTCATTTTAAAAATTTACCCATTTTATCCTGCTCTTTAAATTAAGTAATTTTGTGACATAAATAGCCCTTAACTGTGCATAATAAAGCTTTCTGATTTTTTTTTGTACTAAGAGACAACTATAAAAATGTAGGTGGGCATTTTATTTTACAGAAAATTTAAGCAAAAAAGTTGAAGGTCCTTTTCCCTTTCTTATAAAATATAATCTGTACTTCATCTACTGATATTTTTATACCTCAAAAATGGTCCCTGGCTTTGTGAAAATGGTATAGTATACATTATAATAGAAAAGTGAAGTTCAAGTTGCGTCTCATCAAGCTAAAGACACTAGGTTGACTTGAAATTTAATAATAGGGCTGCTTCATAGCCTTTTAAACGCCATTTAATAATAGAAATGAGATAATAAGTCTATTTTACCCAGAAGATCTCTTTAAAATTCCTACAACTATAAAAATAGTGCTAATAAAAAAATGTAGACATGCTGATCTCATTTCAAGGAACAATTTAAGCATAATCCCTGACTTCAAAATGGCCCACAGATGACTTTGACATGATTCACAAGACCACAGGGATTTTTGAGGATAATCTGTTTCAAAGTAGTCCAAGAAATTTGGCATCATCATGAAACATGTCTAAAAGTAATTATGCTTCGTTGATGAGGTGATACACCCAAACTATAATATGATCTATATACATTAAAGGCTAATATGCTAGGTGTCCAACTGTTCAGTCAACCATTCGACCAGTCTCTATGATGCGCACTGACCACCAGGGAGCAGATGCTTTTACTGGTAGGTTAGCTTGCTGCTGGGTTCCGGCCAATAGGGACTGGGTGAGCTGGCTGGATATGCCCTGGAGCCCTCCTGTGGTCCCTCCCTTGCCGGCCAACATACCACAGTTCCTCCCCAGCTAGCCAGCCCCAATCAGCCCCAATCAGGACTGGGCAAGGCAAGCTGGACACACCCTGGAGCCAACCTCCTGCAGTCCTTCCCTGACCTCTAAAATATTTCTTCTAATTAATTTCCTTTCAATGTGTATGAATTCGTGCACTGGGCATAGATAGACAGACAGATAGATAGATAGATAGATAGATAGATAGATAGAACTATATCTATCTATCTATCTATCTATCTATCCATTTACCTACCTACTAGAGGCCCACTGCACAGATTCATGCACCAGTGGGGTCCCTCAATCTGGCCTGTGCCCTCTCATAATCGGGGACCCCTGAGGGATGTAAGACTGCCGGTTTCAGGGCCTGCGGAGATTGGGCCAAAACCATCAGTCCAACATCCCCCAAGGAATGTAGTAGTGGACAAAGCGGCAGGCAGCCAGGGAGCGCAAAGCGGCAGGCGGGCACCGCACTGCTCTGGCTCATCCCGCCCCTGCTGGGCCTGCTGTCGTCGCTGCATGGTAGCACACTGCCATGGAGGGAGGAGAGGCTCATGCCACCACAGCTGTGCTTGCCAGCTGTGAGCCCAGCGTCTGGTTCCCATCAGTCAGCTGAGTGGCACTCCCACTGTGGGATCACACTGACCACCAGGGAGTAGCTTCTGCATTGAGTGTCTGCCCCCCCTGGTGGTCAGTGCATGTCATAGTGACCTGTCAAACAGTCATTTGGTCTCTTAGGCTTTTATATATATAGATAATAGATAAAATAACTTAAATATATAATATTGTAATATCACAAGAATCCAGATGTTATACTATTCACAACTGATTTTCCAATAAGATAAAATTTACTGAGATATATCAGAGTAGAAAATAGTATTCTTAATTTTAGGGTACTGTTTTTGTTATTATTGTCACTGCTCTAAAAGATCTCTATTGTGGTGGGTACTCTCTTGCATTTAATTTCAATAATAAATAAGGATGAAAATTTAACTTAATGGGTCTGGGGGCACCAGAAGTTAAATGGAGGTTATTTCACTTGTCAGTATGAGACATGACATCATTAGTTCTGCTCAGGTACTTGTTTCAAGAGCTAGACATTAGCCTCAGATTTGGTAAATCTGCCTGCTATTGTTTGTAAAGCTGCCTCTCCAAATATAGCAGGCATATTAATCAA